GATTAATTCTACCAAAAGCATGTTAAATTCCAAATTTGACATGAAGGATATGGGGCTGGCCGATTTAATCCTTGGGATTAAAATAATTAGAGGACCTGACGGTCTGACGCTAAGCCAATCCCATTACGTTGAAAAAATCCTTACTAAATTTAATAAGGATGATTATCAAGAGGCAAGGACGCCATTAGATAAAAACGTACACCTGACCAAAAATCGTGGAGAGTGTATTTCTCAAGTAGAATACGCTAGGATTATTGGCAGTTTAATGTATCTAATGAGTTGTACCAGGCCTGATATTGCCTTTGTGGTTAGTAAGCTTAGTAGATATACTAGCAACCCCGGTGACGAACACTGGAAGGCAATAGTAAGGGTTTTGAGGTATTTACGGAAAACCCAAAACCTTGGACTGCACTATGGAAGATATCCAGCTGTACTTGAAGGGTATAGCGACGCTAGTTGGATATCTGACATTAAGGACTCAAAGTCCACAAGTGGATATGTTTTCACTTTGGGAGGTGCAGCCGTGTCGTGGAAACCCTCGAAACAAACGTTAATAGCTAGATCCACGATGGAATCTGAGCTAATAGCCTTGGATAAGTGCACTGAAGAGGCTGAATGGCTACGCCATTTTCTCGAGGATATTCCAAGTTGGGAGAAGCCTGTCCCTCCAATATGCATACATTGCGATTGTCAAGCGTCAATTGGAAGGGCACAGAGCAATCTCTATAATGGTAAGTCTAGACACGTCCGTCGTAGACATAATACCATTAAACAACTTCTCACAACGGGTGTTATCACTGTTGACTACGTGAAGTCAAAGGATAACATAGCGGATCCGCTAACCAAGGCATTGGATAGAGAATTGTTGGAGAAGTTGATACGAGGAATGGGATTAAAGCCCGTGAATTGAAAAGTTCTATAGTGGATACCCAACCTAGTTGGTCCTAGGTTCAAATGGGACAACTAAATTATAGAGCGAAGGATGGTCACTGTGGGGGTCCCGGACTCCTACCCACTCCTCGTTGAAACAGTGACTCCCGCACGAGGTTAGCAAAAACGTTTGCTTTAATGATTCTAAAATGTTGATCTACTCGATGACATTGGAAGAGTATGCGGGATACTCATGAAAGAATCACCTATGTGAGAGAGAAGAGGGCCGCTTCAAAGGAGAACTGTAATGGCTCAGTTCTTTAGAAACTCTTGCAGAACCAGGACGGTGACCCATGGCCAAAACGGGCACACCCATGAGAACGGAACAAAGTTGGAAGGTTCTTGTGTAAAGATAAGTCAATGTTTACACGACGGCAGTATAGTTCAAAGACATCGAGTCTACTAGACAGCCAGTAAATAAACGAGTCTTTACAGCGGAAGGTTCAAAGGATGAAACCTACCTCTCCGTATACAAGGATCATCCGGTGAACACAACGTGTCCTCCTATCTTCGTGTCTTTTTAAGTCTCGAAAATCAATTTTCATTCATGTGGGGGATTGTTGGAAAAATGTGTGAAAAAATGCATTAAATGGCTATTTTGGGGCAATTTTTTGAGTGGGGTCCACTTCCGATTTGGGTCGGGTTAAAGTGGTTTCGGATTGTCCTTGCTTAGGGCTACAATTCGATATATGGTACGCTCAAAACGGATAACGGGTGAATGAGAAATCGCTTTTCGAAGTTTACCCGTTAGAAGGGAAAAACTGGGGAAAAAGGATGGGTTTCTAGTGTTAATTTCCCACACCGGAAAACCCAAGGGATTTGCAACCCTTTATAAAGGGACTCCCCCCTTATGGAGTTAAGATTCCTAAGGGTAAAGGCTCTCTCCACGCGCGCAGGGGGGGGGGGGGGTGCAAATCAAATCCCGAATTAGGAGAAGAAAAACCGCGACTTGCGTGCGCGGGCGACCTGCGGACACGAATGTCGTCCAAAAATCTATCTCTCAAGAGATACGATTAATTTTTGTTTTCTTCCCGAAACGTTTTTCCCAGCGGCAGAAGTGCTCGGACAGAAGCCTACGGATCAGAACACCTCGTTGGTGTTCTGATGGCAGAACCCCTCATGGGGTATTCTGATGGCCGCCCATCAGAGATGGGGTATTCTGATTGCCGCCCATCAGAGTTGGGGGTACTCTGATGGCCGCGGATCAGAGTTGGGGTCTTCTGATTGGCCTCCGATCAGAACCCCTCCCGGGGTGTTCTGATGGAGGTCTTCTGTCGCGCTTCTGAAACGTTACAACAATTAATGCCCAACGTTTATATCTTTTAATGCAGCGTTAAATGGACAGTTCATGGACGATTCAATGCCCAACGGACTGGTCATTGATGTCCAACGTTCAGGTCTATTAATTCACCATTTACACACAACAAATCCTCCTATATAATGGCTGGCAGGTGGTTTGCAACAACACACGTTCTTACACGAATTCTACACGTTTTGCACCTCTAAAAACACACTGCTAGCAATCTGCAAATTCCTCCTGTGTTCATACTGTGTTCTCGTTCGCTGGAACTTTTGTTTGTGTGCTCAAACATTAGTTCGTAGTCATCGTATCCTGGGAAACGATTGTTGCAACGCTCCTAGCACCGTGGGAGGCAACAAATACGTTTTAAGGACATCGTGCGTAGCACGAGCTTTGACTAATTCTGCTTCATCTCCTTTCTTGTTTTTCTCTAGTCATTTTATTTAATTAATTTATTTTAATTAATTTTCTTTATTTTCCGAAACACACCCAACAAAAATCACTATCGCCAAAAACTCTTACTAGTTGAAGAAGACAAGGCTCAAAGATGAGATCTTGTAGGACGCCTAGTCTTTCCCCTAGGGTCGTCTTATTCTCCACATTCATATAATCCCCAATTAAACTTATTTTATTAATAACAAAATATTATTTTTACTTATATTATAAACATAATAATTAAAAAACATTTATAATTTTTTGTTAAAACACAATAAAATAAAAAAATAACAATAAAAAAACATTAAAAAAATGTACACAAATAAATAAAATACCTAAGAAACTTTGTCATTGCATCTTCCACCTCCCATTGCCGAAAAAATGATATCTTGTGTAAAATATGCCACATTTCTCTAAAAATATCATGAAGATGATGACATCTAAAAATGATACCCAGTTTTGCTTTCAAAATTATCATTACGATAACATTTTCTGCAAGTTAGTTTTTTTCGGCGACCGATGGTGAGGTGTTGGAAGGCCACTGAGGTCTGTATATATATTTTTTAATTTTTTACATTTTTATTTTTTATTATTATTGTCGTTGTTTAAAAAATCGTGTTAGGCATGGCAACTGAATGGGTAGGATAGAAAAAGTTATTCCTATTTTGGAGATATAAACGTTGTATTGTTATTCTTACAATGGCCTTTATTTATTCTTATTTAGAGAATTGCCTGCGTTTTGATATGGTCATTGGATATTTTCAGTTTATCATTCTACTTTTTTACCAAACATGTAGAGCCTGTTTGATAAACCCCGTTTTTAGTCTATCAGTCTTTGAGAAAGGTGCAAGTATACTCCTAAAGTATATGCGGAAGTGCACATATATTTCTGAATTTCTAAAAGGTGTAAAAATACCCTTTAAGTTTGTATAAAGGAGCGAATTATTTACCCTTATTAATTTTAAATAAATAAAATTAATTTTCAAAAAAACCAAAAATAAATTATAAATTCAAAATCTTAAAATTGAAAAAAATCTACTTGTAACCAATTCCCCAATTTATTATTTTTATATCACAATTTAATAATGTTAGAATAAAAAAATTGTTTCAAAACTTGACTATAAATTTATGATTCTTTCTAAAAAGGGTTGACATATGTGTTGCAATGTATAGAAACATTATTTCTGGTACACTTTTTGCACTACAAAATAGTGAATTTAGTTTTATTAAGTTTAAACAAAACCAAAGAATGTTATTTCAAAAACTGTAACAATGTGTTCAAAATTTCACAAGACTAAAATAACTCTTTATGAATTTGAAATGCTACATTTACAATGGAAAAATAATAATTTTGCAATTTAAAATTAAATAGTTAATATTTTAACATAAAAATAAATCTTTATTTTTAACTCTTAATTTTTTTCAATTACAAAATTTAAGTTTATATTTTTTGTTTTTGTTTTTTTAAATTTGTTATGTTTATTTAAAGTCAATAAGAGTATATTTGCTCTTTTAGGAACATTTGGGGTATTTTTGCACCTTTTAGAAGTTCAGGGGGTATATCTGTATCTCCACGTATACTTCACGTCTTCAAGGTTGTGTTTGCAACTTTGCACCTTTCCGAAATTGAGAAGTAATCAAAATAAGTAAGATTTTTTTTTGGCTTAATTGGCTGAAGTTACTGTAGAGTACCATCTTTGTCATTTTTCATGTAATTGTTTCTTAATTTATTATCAAAATATATTTAAAGTATAATTTTTTCATAATTTAGCGCACTTCGTCAATGCAGTCACTTCAGTTATAATTTTATAAATTTAAACAAGTTTAGCTTATTCAGTCAATCTCAGTGTTACCAACCAGGCTCATATTTTTTAATTTCTCGCGTTGAATTGTGTAATAATCAAAATAAGTGAGTTTGTCGTTATTTTTCTAGTTGAATTGGCTGAAGTTACTGTAGAAGACATCTTTAGTTATTTCTACATATTTCTTTCTTAATTTTATTAAATAAGATAAATTTTAAATATAATTTTTCATAATTCTGTCGAGTCATATCTTTTCCCAATTCAGCCACTCTAGGCAAAATTTTATAAATTTTAACAGATTGAGTCGATTGAGACAATTTCAATGTTACCAAACGCGCCTCGAGTATTTAGACTAAAATTCTCTCATTTCATAAATGTTTAGTGGTGTATTATGATCTTACTTCTATGTTTTAAGTTCTGACTAGTGTTGAATGCGAGCGATGCCCCGAGATGGTGTTGATACTTCTCATATATAGTTTTATGGGGTATTTACCTAAATGAGACTAATTAAATCTTTAATTGCCAAAGTAGGACTAAAGTTTAAAAATCCCCTATATAGGAGTTATTATTTCTAATTAGACAAAAACACCCTTGAGCTTGGTAATGATACTGCCGACTAGAACATCAGACCACCGTCGGTCGTCGATCGCCGGTCGCCGCTGGTCGCCAGACGTCGCCGCCACCTCAAAACCGCCCGCCAGTGTAGATCTGATTGCTGCCGCTGTAAATGTGGTTGCCGCCTCTGCAGATCTGGCGGCCGCCGCCGGAGATCTGGTCCAATCTAGCTTTGCCGGCCACCATCCGCTTTCTTTGTAGATCTGGCCACCGTCATATCTAATCCGGTATCTGCAATTGCATATATGACCTCTATCATTGTTGATCTGGTTGTTCAGGCCAAAATGCCAATATTTTTATCGAAATGTCAAAATGAGTCAAAAATGCCATTTAAATGGCATTTTCAAAGAAAAAAACAACATTTTTTGTAGAATAAGAATGCCATTTTAATGGCATTTCCAGAATGCCATTTTTTGTAGAATAAAAATGTCATTAAAATGACAATTTTTTACAAATCAAAGAACAAGAGAAGAGGGGAGGAAGCACAAGAATAGGAATCAGAGAAGATAACTTGACCTTCGAAGAAGAGAAGAAAACCTCCGGCGGCGACGGCAGTGGACTTTGAATCGGCGGCGGAGGACTTCGAATCAGCGGCGGCAAACTTCGAATCAACGACGGCGGACTTTGAAAGTACCTATGGAGAAGGAAAATCGATCTACGCCGGCGAGTGACGGCAGTGAACTTTCCGGTGGCGGCGCGATGGCTATGATTGGCAGATTGGGCTTCTAGGTTTGATCGTTCTTGTTTGAAGAAGAGAAGAAGATGTGCAGCTAGATGAGAAGGTGTGCAACGGATGGAAAAGATGCGCAGGGGAGGAAAGATAAGATGCGCAAGTGAGAAAGAAGTCTGGACCGTGTGCGTAGGGCAAAAGAGGTAAAAAATAGGGGTAAATATGTAATCTAGTCCCATTTAGGGAATAAAATTATACATACTCCTGTTTTGGAATTTCAGGAACAATTTAATCCTATTTAGAACAAAAAAACTCTAGTTTTATTTGACAACTCTTACCGCACCGATTTTGGTGTGCTTCTTTTTGAGTTAAAAACTTATTAATTTGGATAATTATGGATGAGATGTAGAATTGGCTAAATCCCTCTTGGTACGTATAAAAATTGTACACATGATCTCATTAGGACTGAAACAATGCTCCAAATCTCATATGTTACAATTAATCAATCATTACATACTCTAAATCAGAATACATGTAAATTTATCTAGATATCTAAATGTTAAAAACACTAAAGACTTTCGTTTTATCCAACCATTAAATTTTTTAACAGAGAATAACACGTACATGATTTATAACAACACATGACATGTTTTCAAAAAAAAACCATGACATTTTGATGTATGGTTTGAATTATTTGGGGATAATGTGTAACCTATGTATCAAGGAGATCCACAATAAACTCAAACAACATGACAATTAAGAGTCCTATTACAGAGAATGAATTAAAATTTTCAATTCGTGTTGTTTCGATCTTTTTAGATGATTTTTTGTCTGCTTCATTTGAAATGCACATATTGGTCATTACTAAATTTTAATACTTCAATTCTTAAATAAGTGAAAAGTCATCAATCACATCTTTACTTTATTTGTATGTATAGAATAAATATCACGAACACTTATACTTTAAGTGATATATCAGAATCATAAACATCTATTTAATTCAAAATATAATTAATTCAAAATATAATTCACTAGTGAGGGTACAGAGTTTGAAATTTTTAGTGACCTCTTGGTAATCGATCTCTTTTTCCTTATGAAATTATCTTTTGGAATTATGAAATTGAAATAATATGAGTATATTTTTTAAATCTATTTTCTATGAAAATTCTTCATCGATGTCTAGTTTTGTACCCGGACGTTGCCCCGGGCAAAACTTCTATATGAAATTTTGATTTACAAACGAATGATGTTTTCCTGTATGACTTTTCTAATTTCATTGGCAATTGAAATCTTTATCAATAATATAATAACAAAAAGCATAGAATATATAACACCTCAAAACTGCTTAGGGGGTGTTTGGTTACTAGCCTATCAGCCAATTTTTGGCTGATTTGACCACTACTTAGCTGTTTGACCAGATAATCAGCTAATTCGGACGTTTGGTTAGATGGCTTTTAAATTTGGCGTCTCGTCTCAAACAGCCAAAATATGAAAAGCTATAAATCCCAGCTTTTTTGATCGGCTGTTTTGTATATTCCATGGCTACCCCTTTTTCTTATTCATGCGCTCTTAGTTACGTTGTCCCTGAATATCAACCACCTCGCAGCCCCCGAAAGAAAAAGAAATAACTTCCACCCTGCTTTTTGGTACCACGTTTAGTTTTAGTTTTTTTACTAGTGACTGCAATTATTTTTTACCTTTCACTAGGTAGGAAATAGTTCCTACTTTTTAAACGTTTCGTATATTCCTTCTATTTTATTGTAAATTCACTAAAAAAAATTCAAAAAAAAAAACAATTGTTCCTAGTTTCTACTTTTTTGTAATATATAATAATAAAATGGAATAAGCAAGATATTTTGATTGAAATGATCTTGCTTCAAGCATACATTTTTCGTTAGTTAACACATGCAAAATGAATTCATTATCGACTTAGCGTGTTTGGTTATAAAAAGTCTTACAACTAATTAAAAAGTGGCTTTATGCGTACTAGTATCAATTTTTTGGTACTATGTTTAATTTTATTTTTATTAATAACTCCAATAATTAATTAAAGTATCATGTTGACGTTTCTCTAAGAAAATCAAAGAATTATGATACTAATTAAATCTATTTATTCGTGAAACAAAGTTTAAAATAATTGTATGTGTCAATACATTTTTATTTTTATCATTAAAATGGTTTAGGTAGTTATACTAATTATGTTAATAAAAAGTAATTCATGTCCTTAAAAGTCATTTAACAAGTAATCAGCCGTTTGTAAACAGTCATTTAACCAAACACTAATTTACAAACAGCTAATCCAACAAGCTAATCAAAACAGCCAACAAAATCTACTGTCATTAATCAGCCAACAGAATCAGCAACAGCCAACAACCAACCGTCAATTGCCAAACACCCCCTTAAAGATACAAAATATTTGAAGGATTGTATCTCTAAATTTTGGAAAACGTCTCTGTACATAACATTATGGTCTTGATGGAAAATCCTCGATCTTTTGAATGAATTAAAATCCTAATCAGGTTTTACTCTTGATCTTTGATAAGATAATACAAAATTTGGAGCGTGTGAAGACATTTTTTCTAGATAGGTTTTTAGAAAATTCTTTATCTATGGCCAAAGTACATACACATTCACCTATGACTGGAAATTGCCTATTTAAACCCTACTTTATTTGATTTTTTATATAAATACATACCCAAGTCGCTATTGATAAAGACCTCGTGTATATATATTACTATGTCATTTTAACACCCAATGCTTTCTCTCTCTAGCTTCACTCTAGAACTTTCATACTCACGTTCTTACAGACTTCCAACTCCCCCCTCCCACCTTAGCTTCTCATTTTTCTCTTTTAGACATTCTAGAATCTAGGTATAGCTCCTCATTTCTACTTGAGAAAATAATTAACACTCTTAAATGACAAATTAATCAAAAAATAATCAAAAAATCATATTTTGATATTTTCAAATGAGAGGAATTTAACAATACTTTTCAAGAAAAATATATAATACATTAATAAATTAAATGTAGTTAAAATATAGTATGTGAATAGTTTAAAACTAACCAATGTTACAATTAAATAAAGAACCAAGGTAGCAAGGTATAGCCAATTCGAAATTCTATATTTTAAGTCCTAATGATCATTATGTCAAATAAAGAGAGCCAATAGCACTGTTTATGCTAATGAGTTGGACATTTCCTAAATATTAGAACTAAACGTAATTGAGCCATTGAAGTATACCTACTTCTCCTACATTTTAACTACATTGTTCGCATTAAAAGTTAGAGCATTCCAAAAATGACACATAAATAATTGGCCTCAATTACAATTTAAATACAAATCAATTTCAATTGAGATAACTCTACTTTATTAGTATTAAAGTAGATATCCAATTAAAGGTTGAAATAAATCTAAGATGTTACCATTTTTCTCATGGTCTAATTCTATGAATATTACTACATCCGTCTCGCAAACATTGCGACATGAGAATTTGACACGATTATTAAAAAATGTGAGATTATGTGGTTAATATTGAATTGATAAAGTATGAATTAAATAAGAATGATTTAGAATCACATAAACTTTACCAAATTTTGTATGATACAATCTTAGTGGAACAAAACGAAAAGGAAAGACGGTGCAATCTTAGCGGGACGGAGAGAGTACTAAACTAAATTCAGAAGACAAAAATATGACTTATTTAAAATTTTCCAAATCGGTGACATATTCACTTGCTAGTTCTTATCGACTCATCATATACCGGTGACTTATCAGTTTGAAAATACACTAGAATAACTCTTGGAGAATATTACCTAAACTAGAACTAAAAAGGTTAAATGAAATTTTCAAAATAGGTCTGCCATGTTTTTATTCCCAAAATAGGACTAATTACTGTCATGTTTTGGCAGTATCAGACTTCAAACATGGCAGTATTTTCCAAATTGGGCAGTAATTACTCCTATTTTGGGAATAAAAAACATGACAGTCCTATTTTTGAATTTTCAAACTATTTTAGTTCTATTTCGGGAACTTTCCCTAACTCTTGTCCAGTTCAGATGTTTTCTTTGGGACTGAAATTGGTTGGTCATTTGGTCTGGTCTGGTCTGGTAATGTCAATCAAGTCTATGTGTATCTTATGACTGTCCAGGACTCGTCTGGTTTGGTCTGTTTAAGTCTGGTCTATTCTGTTCAAATTTGGTCAGTTTTGATCTAGTCTGATCTGGAATTGAAAACGGTAACAAAGAAAACATCCTTACTCGTACATAGTGATTAGTCATAGTTTTATCCAAAACATAATTAGTCATATATTTACTCGAGAAAACTCTATTAGTTATATACATGTCATTTTTTCATGAGGAGTAACTCGGGAAAATTCCTACATTATTTGTAACATCATGAGGAATAACAATATAACATGCAATTTGCACCGTAGAAACTCAAATGCTAGTAGGTCAAATGGCATTAAATCCCATATCTGATTAGAGATGAAACATTTAATTCTCAACTATGAGCCTATGATCTGTCTCGATTGAGTTCTTTTATCATCAAAGATGGCAACGATTCTTGAGATCGAGGGTCCGATTGAAAGAAAATATTTCAGGTTTCCTCGCAAAAAAAAAACAAAAAAAAAAAATTCAGGTTCGAAAGAGAGAATGTGACCGAAGCAGCACCGCATATGTGATGGGGTGAGAACTCAATAATTACCGCCTGTATTTACCGGTCCAATAAATTAAAATCTTAGTTTTTTTTTTTTGAAAATAAATTAAAATCTTAACTCTGATTTCTAAAATGCTTTTAGAGTTCCTTTAAAAAAAGCTTTTAGAGTAGGGGTGAGCCGGAGAAACCGAAAACCGAATCGAAAAACCCGAACCGCAATCAAAACAACCGAACCGTAAGAAAACCGAAACCGAACTCAAAAAACCGAACCGAACCGTAGTTGTTTGGTTTCGGTTTTCACTTATCAAAACCGAACCGAATAAACCGAACTTTTTAAAACTTGTTACTTTTAAAACTTTAGCGGTCTTCTTTTAATAGTCCGACCTTTTCGTTATTCATGAATAATCCAACCTTTTCATTATTCATGAATAATCCAACCTTTGCACCTCATCTTCATTCATTGGTCCCCGACCGGTTCATGACCTGCTATTCCGAGTTATTTTCTTATCTCTGCAAACGATTATACCATAAATTCGACCTTTCACAAAGATAATATTTTGCAAATATAAGAAAATAACTTGGAATAGCAGGTCATCAACCGGTCAGGGACCAGTGAATGGAGATGAGGTGCAAAGGTTGGATTATTCATGAATAACAAAAAGGCGGGACTAT